GGTTTTACTAGAGGGCAGCTCAGCAGTGGTGAGATTCAATTTTTTTTTACTGCCGTTTCTGTGGGCATGGCTTGGTGGGCATGGCAGAGGAAGGATACTGCAAATTCCCCATTCCCTCCCAATGTCACTAATCTGCTTTCCAGCTGTACTCAGAATTTCTGCTACTGGTTCTCCAGAACCTGTCAGAACTAGCTGAATGGCACTTCTGATCCTCAGATATCCTCAATAAAATATCCCATCAGATTTGAACAACTTTCCTCGAAATTTTATGAACAGCTTTTCTTGAAATTTTACCAAACAAATATTTGGTTTAGAGCAGGATTTACCAAATTGTGAGTTGAACCTCCCCTGGGCAGTTGAAGACAAAATCCAGAGAAGGTGTGAAGAACTTTCTTGTAAACACTGTTACAAAAAAATCTACCTTTCTCCAAAAAAAAATATGTATTGCTTTCATCGTTCATTTATGTTCATTTTGTTCCTTGGATTTTTATGGGAGATTTGTACATATGATTATATTAAAAGTAGATGTGATGGCAAAAAGTTAGGAATCCCTACTTTAGAGGCTGAAATCATACATTTACATATATCTTTCTTTTAGAGCATCTGCTTAGTTAGCTTTTATTTCTGATATGTTAAAAACCAAAGTGTATTTTTTTAAAAAAAAAAACTATGCTTTTTGATGTAAAAAAAACCCACAGGCATCGTATGCTGAAAGCTTTGGTTGATATGCTTTCTACAAATAAGGACATCTGATTCCTGACTTCATAAAGCAAATTCAGTTGCCAATGTTTTCAAGTGATATGAGTAAAAGAATTGCCAGATTCTCAGGAAAAGCAAGTTTTGTTATCTCCCCGGATGAAAGATGCATCAAAAGGGTCATGTTGAAAGAATGTTGAAAGACAGGAACGAGTAAAAGCCAAGTAAGCTTTTAGATGGTGACTATTAACTTTTCTTTTAGCTGCTACCACCAAGAATTTGATAACTGCAGGGTTTGATCTGAAATTCTTTTTGAACTAAGCACTTACAAAGGACAGAATTTCCACCTCGTTTGTTTCATTGATGGAAAATAGAGGAAGCACACAGGGTGGTACGAATATAACTACGTAGGTCACCACTAATCATGGGCCACCTCTGAAAGAATTTTTCCTGTTCTTGGTATGGCAGAATGGCCTCCCTTTATGCAGCAGGGAAATGTGTACGATAGAACAATTTACCTCAGTAAGAAACAATTGTGGAAGTGAGATTTTTTTTTTTAATGAGGTGGCAGGTCACACAAAAATGTGTGAGGGTAAAATAGTTCCCGGTTCATATTTGCATTATTCGGTTTTCACAAAATAAGATCAAATAAATCAAAGCAAGATGGGCAACGAATAAATCTAATAAATAAAGTGTATTAATGAAATTAATGTTAATTGAAATGCCTTTTTCAGATAATTTCCTTTTTATTTTACTTTTTATTTTTCAAATAAAAAACATTGAAAAGACTTCATAATTATTTATAATAATTAAGTTAAATTTTGATTTGTTAAATTAAGCCAAAGGACTTTCATCGTTTTCCCCCTTTGGTTCATATCTATATACATGAGATACATGAGATAAGAGTGCAGAGAAGAGCAACGAAGATGATTAGGGGACTGGAGGCTAAAACATATGAGGAACGGTTGCAGGAACTGGGTATGTCTAGTTTAATGAAAAGAAGGACATGGGGAGACATGATAGCAGTCTTCCAATATCTCTGGGGTTGCCACAAAGAAGAGGGAGTCAAACTATTCTCCAAGGCACCTGAGGGTAAGAGAAGAAGCAATGGGTGGAAACTAATCAAGGAGAGAAGAAACTTAGAGGAGAAATTTTCTGACAGTTAGAACAATTAATCAGTTGAACAACTTGCCTCCAGAAGTTGTAAATGCTCCAACACAGGAATTTTTAAAGATGTTGGATAACCATGTCTGAAGTGGTGTTGTCAACTCATAAAGCATTTGCATATCTGTTATCAAGTTGCCATGGTGAGAAAAGGCGGGAGGAGTGCATTCCATGCATACATTCAGCTAGTCGGATCTGAATTTACTATAGCAGGCTTGTGAGGTGTGCACCTCAGTGGAGAATGTGA